AGGAAACATTAGAATAGGATCCTCAATAGGACAGCTGTTGGTGAAGTAGAATTATGGTAGACGTACCAGCTTCTCTGTTACCACATCTCCCAACAATCTTCTCTAAGACCTTGGGAGGACCTGTAAACTACATTTTCCAGAGTTCCCTCCAGTGTATGAATTTAGGCTAGAGCCCTCCAAAACTGAGGCACTGGAATATGATTTCAAAATCTGGATAGAAGAAAGACAAGGACAATGAAAAAAAAATGCATGCATACCTGCAATGTGGGAACTACTTGAGAGTCACATGCCTACCTTCAGATTGAGAAGAACAGTAGGAGATTTCCTAAGTGTTCCTGAGATATGACAAAACTTTGTGGCAAGTTCTTGAGGATCACTACCCTCGATGTTGGTGAGAAGCCATAGCCCAAGCTCAGGATAGTCACCCCTGATGAACAGTTTTGAGTAGTGCTTCTTACTGCACACTTTTTCTCTTCCCCCCAGCACAATGTCACCATTGTCCCTACCTATAGTGAATTAGTGTGTCCTGTGTGCAGGATGAATGTCAGGAATTACACAGGAATCAAGGGCATAGAGCTTTGGGTTTTTTCCCTTGTTTTTGTCACTAAGTGGCTCCAATCACCCCCAGCAATTTTCAGTGTATTCCTCTGTTGAGTGGGAACAGTAATATTTACCTTCCCCATTATTTTTCAGGTCTTGAGAATACATGTAATATGGCCTATACTCTTAAGTAGAAATTGTTTCTCTCAAAGATGCAATGGTCTATATAAAGGTGAATTCTATTAGTAATAGTTACCAGACAGAGTGGCCATGTCTGGTACACTAAGGTGTGTCCTGTCCACATAACATATAAAAAGACATTTCTCCAACAAATATGTCAACATTCTTCATTACATGATCGTCACTGAGGACATAGTGCCTACACCGCTACTAGGGAACACCAACATAGACCCATACCTGTCATATTCCAAAGATATGCTGAGGCCTAAGGTATCATTCAGAGGGATTTCACATGGACCTTTCTAAATTCCCACCTACACTCCAACCCTTCTCTGTCTCAGAGGCTAGCCCTATCTTTAAGAGTATCTGTTCTAGGAAAATAATATCATCGGTTGCTCAAATTCATCTTGTTCCCCTCCCTACTGTCAAGACACTGACGTTTTAAAAATGCAACATTAAAGTAATCATCAACTTGAAAGTTATGCTTTGTGGATAAACGCTGTGCGGCAGTGAATCAATAGACATGGGTTCATTCCCAATAGTATGAGCTTTTGGAAAGAAAGGAGTTGAAACTGAGATGCCGAGTCTAGTCCTTCCATTTACTATGCTCACCCTTAAAGAAAGACGGGTACTATGTCTTACATGCAGCTGAGTGACCTCATAGAAAAATCGAAAGATACTAGGTCTTTTATGACTTCTTGCTTTTTTTCTGAACAAATATCATATTACTTAGATCTCTGTTATTGTAACAAATACCTGAGGTAGTCAGATAGCAAGAAGATATTTATTTTGGTTCATAGTTTTGGAGATGTTAGTCCACTGTCAGTCAGCCCATTACTTTTGTGCTTGGGGGAGGCCACACATCATGGTAGGACCATGTATGGGGAAACACTTCATGGCTAGGAGAGGAAGGGGTCCTCATATCTGTTCCAAGAGCATAACCCCAATAACCTTAAGACCTCCCACCTGGCCCTACCTCTTAAAGGTCTACCATCTTGCAATAGTCCCACAGGCTGGGAACGATACTTCCAACATGGGCTTCATGGGGCAATTATCTAAACCATAGCAAACATATATTGAACTCCAAATTAGTAGGAAGCCTGCCAAGCACTGCGTATGGTTGTGAACAAATAAACATAATCTTCCCCATTCTGCTTAAAAGCTTATGGCATGTCTCAGAAGACAGTCCAGGAATGTGGACAACTGACCTAATATGAATGTGTAAGGTGGATCAGAGGTATCCAGCTTAGAGCTGTGATATTTAAGCTGATACCCACAGTCTGGGCAGGAGTGAGTGATGGGAAAGAGAAGTTAGACTTAGTACCAGCTCTCATGAGCTTAATTATTTATGAGATCATTAAGATATATAAACCTGATCTCTAACATATAAAGTATAATATGATCAGTTGCACTGAGGAGGTAGAAACAAACATTATAAGTACCCTCAAAAACAGCAAAAACCAACATAGCTCAGATCAGGATAAGTTTCTTCCACGAAGTAGGAAATTCTACACATGTGTATCTCTGTGATGTATGGAATATCTATAAGTACAAATGAAAACACTGAGCCCTTTGTTTCCTAATCATTATTCTAAGCCCAGTCTTCCTTTGCATTTGAATTTATAGTCCTTAGGACATGAATCTTAGGCCTATCATACTTGACACTGGAAGTTACATAAAAGGACAAGAAAAATGTGATGGGATAGAAAAATAGCAATTTGCACATGAACTACTGCCCAACAGTTTTTGTAGTTGTTGGTGCGGAAGGAAAAGAGATTGAGAACTAGGTGAATCAAAAATTATTTTCAAATAGAAGTCCCAGTTAGGATTTTACAGATCAAGTTTCAGCTTTCATGGAGGACTGTACATGGAAGAATTGATGTCACCTGCCTTCATACCATAAAAGACCTTCTGTCCCTTTCTGCAGAAATGTTTGCAAGCTGTTTTCATGGAGGTATTAATAAATGGCATCCAGGTAGTTTAGTGATTTCTATAATCACAAATCAGGAATAATTTCCTTAAATATAAAAAGCAGCATGGGATCAGGTGCTCTTATTCTGGGTACAAAAAAAAATAATGTCTTTCCCCATTTGTTGGTATATGATTCATGGCAAGATGAAATGTGTAAGTCTCTTCTTTTCCCTTCATTGATGACTCTAACCATAATCTAGACTTAATTAACTTTTTTGGTTCTTTAATTGTCTGCTAATAATCATAGGCCTCAAAAATATTGTTTCATGATGCAGACGTATTTTTTTCAACAACCAAGTCCTTCGTGCTGACTGGACAACTGAGGAGTTACACAGTTTTAGAGATACACATCAATAAAATTGATATGTCTGTCACTTGCTACCTTTAAATAACATTCCTACATTTTCCACATTTATGTCGGGCTTTGATATCATCCAAGAGCACCAATTTGCACTTTATCTTAGGCATTTTTTCATATTATAACTATTACTCAAAATATCTTTAAAAACTATGATCTTTTCTTTCACCCCTTCAAGGCTCAGAATTCTCAGATGATATCTATCCTTTTCCTACTGATTTTCATTCATTTGATTGTATCCTCCCATTGTGAAATCTCAACTTCATGGCCAGGCAAACTTTTACAAGTAGACTTGAAATTTATGAGACTTCATTTTCTAAGCAAGACACTAAGCAGACTATGAAATAAAACTACACTTATCCAAATATAAGAAATCCATAAATGAACTCACAAGGATATGATGGTAATTTAAGAATTAATGTTTTGCTCCTGGGGAATACCCACAAAACAGTCTAAGAAAGGAACATGCTCAAGACCCTCATAAGGACATTCGGTGACACAGACCTGTTCATGACTCTCTGAACACAACAACACTGGAAGTTACTTCCTCCCTTTGACTTTGAGAAAAACCAATTTTCACAAAACTGACAGTGAAGGGGACCACAAATGAATTTTAATAACACAAATGAACTTTTAAATGTAGTAACATTCCTTTGATGCCCAGATATCAAATTCAATCACAGGTATACCTGGAATCTTGCATTACCCTCTTGTCTTTACACCCCACAAAGCCTGTGAGTCACCTCTGAGGTCCAGCTCCAGTATTTTCTGAGCACCTCTTCAGCCTTCGTTTCTAGCCATCCATGCTGGGATAACAAAGCCGGGCCGTCCTTATTCAGGGTCCCCTTGTGGACAAAGGGAATATCTTTTCTGAAGGAAACAAATCTGTGATGCCCTCAGTCTATAACTGTTCTTACTTAATCTTGGAAGAGTCACACAGTTCCAAACATAACCAGGATAAAATGGGGTAAACAAGTTTCACCACATGACCTGTTCTTGATCCTGACGATTTCAACTCTGGCAATTACACAGACCCTGCCCAAGCAGGCAGCTAGGGATAAGGTATTTTCAAACGATATTCCTTGTCAGTATTCTGTCCACTTTTGAAACTGAAGACTATAGAGATGGCAAAAAGAATTCAGGGTTTGGAAGAAATGGGTAAACCAAATTAATGTTCTGAGGATCAGAGAATTCAGCAAACTATACACAGATTCCCTTTAATGTTGCCAAGCAAACTGAAATTCCTTTGAGCTGTAACACAGAGTTCATTCATTTTGAAATTACAGATTTCAGCTATTACATTCCCAATCATATTTTTTATAAATATGAGTGAGTTTCTCAATTTCTTTCCATTACTGTTCCTGGAGGGAAGATCTCCTTAGTAATTTTTAAGTACTATAATTCTTTTTTTATGGAAAAAAATCACAAATTATATTACACCATGGATTATAGGTCTCCCATTAGGCTGCCATTACATTCTGGTTAATATAGGTGAAAATCGGTAGGTTTGACAGGTATGGTTTTTCTCATCAAGGACTTAAAAAGCACCATATTCCTTCTGTGTTTATTCTTTTTTTTTTTTTTTTTTTTTTTTTTTTTTTTTTTTTTTTTTTTTTTTTTTTTTTTTTTTTTTTTTTTTTTTTTTTTTTTTTTTTTTTTTTTTTTTTTTTTTTTTTTTTTTTTTTTTTTTTTTTTTTTTTTTTTTTTTTTTTTTTTTTTTTTTTTTTTTTTTTTTTTTTTTTTTTTTTTTTTTTTTTTTTTTTTTTTTGTACCGGGGATCGAACTCGGGTCCTTGCATTTGCAAGGCAGGTGGCGGAACCACTGAGCTAAATCCCCAGCCCCACACCATGTTCCTTCTAAAGTGCCCAGCCAGCAGTAAGGGACCCAGAGATCTGTGTGGCCGAGTGTCCCTCCCATGATCACTGAGAGCAATAAAAACCTGAATTCTTACCTCGGTGACTAGTGAGTTCTCTGGAAGCAGAAGGTAGGGGTGTGTAGTGGTGCTCTGGAGAGGCAGCAACATCCCCACTGGAAGGCTGCGTGATAAAAGCAAATGTCAGTGGAAGCAACACCAAATACTAAATACCTTTGTTTACAAGAAATATCTTCTCAGGATCTGAGTCTGGAGAAAATATCATCCACAGAGATTCATCTTAGGAAGCCAGTGTCGTCTTTGTGGGGATTGATTTCTGGTCAGCACAGGGGAGGGCACAATGCTTTGAGAGGTCTCAGCCATAGGGAAATGGATCTGAAACATGGAGATGTTTTGCTTTTGTAAATGAACTGAAAGGAGATGGAGGAGGAAAAAGAGAGAAGGGAGGAAGGAAATGGCGTAGATTTTAGGGTTTCTATCACAGGCCCTCTCCCAGTCATTCCCACAAAGCAAGCACAGGCTGTGAGCAGATTTCTATGGAAATGAATTAAGGGGCTAAGCTCTGCCCTAGGGTGGATGAGAAAAACAGGGCTTACAGGGGCACAGTGGCATGGAGTCAGGGAAAAGTCAGAGCTGCAAGACTGCAGCATGAAATTGCTAAAGGGAAGGACATAAATTGCCACTGGTTGTGCAACTGAACTTCTGGCTAAGTTAACAGGAGCATTGAGAAATCCATCTGAAACTTGGATTTAGGATACAAATGCTTGGAACCAGTGTGCTTTGGCTTTCTTAGTTTTTGGACTATGGAATATCTGTATATAGATGATGAGATACATTGGGATGGGACTCAAGTCTGAACATGAAATTTATTCATGTTTCCTATACACCTGCTACACAAGCCTGAAAGGATTTCATACAATATTTTCAGTGTGCCTGCATTTTGACTCTAATATATTACATGAAGTTAGGCGTGAAACTTTCCACTTGTGGCATTATGTTGGCACTTCAGAAGTTTTGAATTTCGGGACATGTTGGATTTGGGATTTTCAGATTAGGGATGCTCAACTTGTATAGAGGTTATCAACAAAACACTGTCATTCCAAGGCCCTGAGAAAAAAGGATGATGCTGTTTTACTGTACACAAACATCTCTTTAACTACAAAACTGTGTGAAATATGGCCCAGGATATTAATTCTCTCTCTCCTGAACAATATGTTCTTGGGAGCTAAAGCAGGAAGAAAGTACTGCACTATGGGATGGGTGGTAACACAGTACCAATGGCCAGTAAGTCACATTCAGAGCACAGGTGCCTATAGCAAGAAGTATCACCACTGCAATACTTAACTGAGATTTCTACATCAAATGAAACTTTTTTTTTAATATCCAAAAAGAACATCTGCTAGGATCAAAATCCTAAGCTTACAACCTTTCCAGGCTCCATGAAAAAGTAAATTTCATTAATGCTACATTTTTCTTTCCGGAATAGGAAATGCATTCTATGGGATATATTTGCCCTGCTAGAAGCAGCCCTTTTCTCCAAAGAGATTACCTACATTATGGGAATCAAAACTAAGTAGGAGATTAGACCTACTAGCTAGAAAAATCCTTTAAACTTCATTTCTGACATTTGAGATGTTTGATTAAGCAGGTTTCAGTGGAGACTTACAGAAAGAGTTCTGAGTGGAGCAAAACCAGAAGCTCTGTCCCTAGGTAGAAACAGATTTTAGGGAGCATTTTTTTACTCCAGCTCAAAGGCAAATATAAGGCAAATATGTGGTATTTAAAGCTTGACCCAAGGGTATTGGCTCCAGAAAGATAAAAACTCAGTCACCAAGAAAAAAGTTTTTAAAAGTAGATGAGACCTGTTGTATTTATTATTAGATATTTATGGAGCTGCAAGAATATGGAAGAGTCAGAGATTGGATTAAAATTCAAAAACTACAGTCACCACTGTCTCTCTGCTTGGCATCAAAGATCTTTTATCACCTCTGCATGATGAGGGCAACACAATCTGGGCTTGAAGCAGGACGTGTGAGGTGGTGAACAGGGACTGTCCTTTCACAGTGCTACCATGCTTTCTCCGTAGAAAGCCACAGCTTTTCTCTAATATTTCTGCTCTACCTCATTCTTTAAAAAGTAAAAGTAAAAATGAACCTAAAACCCAATACACTGTATTGAGGTGTTTTTAATCTCTATTTGGGCTACTGACAATTTAATGACAGCCTTTCCTAAAATTACTGGAAGAAACACTACCTTTTAGCAAATACCTCTGATTGTGCAAAACATTAGGGTTCTGTAACCAAGAGTAAAAGAACTAGTTTTTGTTTCCAAGTGTAGGCAAAACAAAATGGTGTGGCTTGAATTTGTCTTGCAGCCATCATTCTAAGCCCAGGAATGTAGTTACTTTTCTGCTCAGTGTTCATTTATAAACTCAAGTCACGGAAAAGAACTAGGAAAAGAGCAATTTTACAAACTATGCCTTCTGGTGGGACTTGTATGGCTCAATGTTTAGGAAAACAACTACAAATCGAGATTCCAAACACCACCTCCTGGACTTGGCTTTTTATCAAAAAGGAGTCTATTTGATCTTGTTTCTAATATTATGCTTAGAAGTACAATTCAGAGAAGCACAATTATGATGTGAAAGAGGTGGACAAGATGCTTTAAATTTACACACTGTCTGCTACAGAATAAAGAACTCTCCCTGAAACGGAAGCCGTAGAGCCACAGTATTTTGAATATGAGATAACGAAAGCATCTGTGGAAAAAATCTGCATAATATTTTCTTTTACCTAGACCAGGACAAGATGCCTAAAATGAGAAAAAAGAAAATGTGGGCAAATCTGAATCTTTAGGACTATAAAGATTTTTCAAATCTTTAAATCCTTGCCAATTTTCCTAACTGCCCACAGCAAGGATTTGTACATTTCACATTTTATTTTTATCTCCTCTTAGAAGACATGTACCACCTCTGCAATAAAATACTAGTATCCAGGCCACATGAATAATGTCCCAAAGTCAATAGACTATAACAGATAAAATAAACAAAAGAAATGTCAGGAATTTCAAAAAAGAGACAAGCTTCAGCTGGGAGACATAAGAAGAGTTGGTCAGATTTGATAATACTAAAGGCTATACAAATTTAAGTGGGGTATAACATTTCAACTGGTCGTACCGGCAAACTGCTCAGTCTCACCGTAGTCAATGCCAGTGAGAATGAAGGGAAATGAAAGCGTTACCTTCTCATCCCTTGCCAGTGGGAACACGCACCGGTTCAGCTGCCTTGCAGAGTAATTTAGCAGCAACTAATAAAATTGAAAATCAGCGCAGCAGTTCCATTTAAAACATATATACTATGGAAAATTTCACACCGGTCTGTAAGTTGAGACATAAAACAATGTTTATTGCGGCATTATTTATAACATTAAAAAAAACTGAAAATAACTTAAGTGTCTGTCAGTGAAGAAAATGGATATATAAAATGCCATATATTCATATGACAGAATAATATTTAGCATTTAAGAGCAATAAATCTGATTTATATATCTCAATTTGAATAGGTCTAAAAATATAGACAGAGTGAAAATGTGAGTTGCCAAATGAAAAACGTAGTATAATAGTATTGGTGCAAAAACATAGTTCTTTAACTTCATATGTGTATGGACACAGGTAAAAATTATCAAAGAAATGTCCTAAATTTATTTTTAAAAATAGTTTGACTAGGGGGCAGGGTGACAGGACTTGGAGCTCACAGAATGTGAGGGGCATTCGATTTTATACGTGACAATGATTTCTTTCATTTAAGGGACAGATGATGCAAAATGTCAAAATATTAAAAAGTACAAATTTTGGATGGCAGCTATGTACATTCATAATTTTTCTAACTTTCCTACATTTTGGAAATTTCATGACATTAAACATAAAAATCGAAAAAGCAAGGTCATGCCTTACAACTCTGAGTCCTGCAAGCCTATACTGATATGAGTACATAATGCTAGGAAATTTCCACTAATGTTACTATAGTACTTGCATAACAGGGATTAATGCCATCTCTGGTTGGATTTTGGTGATGAAAATATCTCATTTCTGTTTCTTCTGAAGCTACTGAGTGTGACCCATAGAACAGAAAAAGCAGATAATGGGTAAATATGTATCTGCCTGCTGACAAGACTTGAAGTATCCATCCCACCTTTGTAAGTCCTTTTTGCTGAGGATTTGCCAAAGCATCCTGAAGACTTCTTGATTCTTCTCCCATTCACAATTGGAGAATTGCTAATAAATTTTTTTAAAATTCCCATCCATCACAGTAATAGTCACTAATATACTGCACTCTGCAATTTCCATAATGAAAGGAGGAAGTGGGAACGCTGGCCACCTTGTTGGGAAAGATTCAGTGAAAGTACAGCGTGTTCTATGACAGACTTGCACGGTGAGAACTTCACTTGGTGAAAACGGAAAACGCATGTCTTCAGACAAATGTCTCACATCCCAGGCTCTTCCCATGGGTGCAGGCAATGTAAACTGCAGTCCAGGGGATACTTGTGAACATCACAGATGCAGGCAAGGAACATGATACAGGCCACAGGAAAGACGATTGGCAGGCTTCGAAACAAGAAGGGAGCAGCTACAAAGTTGTTTAATGGCCATAAATCTCCCACTATTTTTCACAAAATACCATCTAAGACCACAGCTCCACAAATCATTCCCCATCACTCAGCTCAAGTGGAACGCTTTGGCACGCTCACTCACCCTTAAATCATATACCGCATAAAGTGATCCCAGGTCTGGGAAATTTGTCAGCCTCTTTCAAGTAGAAGCAATCTTCACTTTTCATCACAATTCATTCCCTGAAACCATGGCATAAAGCTGACTCTTCTAAAAACATTTATTTTTTTCTCTCAGAAGAAAATGCATCACTCATGTAGTTATCAAGTATTTAGTAACTACCTCATACACGCCAGGGCCTGTACTGAGGATATCAACACAAAGAAAATGAGGATCTGGTTGCATTCCCAATGCTTCAAAAACTAATAATCAGGGTATGATTAATATTGATTATGAAGAGAAATCAAACCATGGCCTCCCATATTCTGAATTAACACAAAATGTTGTCGCTGTCCTCTATTTTGACATCTATCAGCAGTAACTAATTATATCCTTACT